CTGCATCTTTTTCTACATGTGTCTGGCCTACCCCGCAGCTTTGTTTCACCTGCTCTGGCTCACTTCCAGCAAGTTGCATGAAGAACATGCCAGTCATCTGGGTGCAAGGGAAAGTCCTGAGAAGTCTCTGAGTAACTATCAACACTCATATGACTTAGATTGTGTAATGCAGATGTGTTAGCAGCCTGAACAGAAGTGCCTAAAAATTACAGCCCAGCTCACCTGGGAGAAAGTAGCATTCAGATCATGGGAGAGGCTGATTGTGGGTGAAAGTAGGGTCTAGGGCTTAACGAAAAAGCTTTGTCATCTTTAGAGCACCGCTCTTTGTGTTTCTAGTGAAAAGTAGATACCATGTACTTCATTTTAAGTACCTCACTACCACCACCTCTCTAGTTTGTTGTACAGTGCCTTTATTAGGGATCTTTGCTCTGAAAACACCCCGGATTTTATTTTTAATTTTGAAAATACTTTCCTAATATCCATTTTGTCCTTACCTCCAGATGGTTATTAGTATCTGGACATGCAGGCAGAATGAAGAGGGGAAGACAGAGGAGGTTCATCTGCTTGCCAAGATAGCAAGGTCATTTAAAGTTGATATTGGCAGGGAACAAAATTCCTGTTGTTACCAGAAAAAATACGCGTTGTCCCCCTGCCTCCCTTAGTGAGTCAAGGGCAGAACACGGTGTGATCAGCTACAGAGACTGTGTCCTCTGGAGCCATGATTTCATATTTGCTGGATGACAGCTATTAAGTTTTATTCAAACACCTACTTGCATGTAGGTAAAAAAAACAAAACCACAAACCTGTTGCAATCACAAAATCCTACTGCCTACTAAAATCTCTTGATTCAGTGTCAAGGTTGAACACATTAGTAGAGCAGTAGGACAAGCTTTCCTTATGCATTGTGCAGATATGCTGGCCCAACAGTTATCTGTGGGGAGGGGAGCTCCCCCAGAGCAACAGCAGTAATCTGCCATCTTTGCACTTCCTTGCTTTCTGCTCGCTGATGCAATGCAGAGCAGTGAATCAGACTGGCAGCTGGAACTGCTAGGTGTCTCCAATACAGGCTCACCAGACACCTATCAAATGAAAACAGATTAGGACTGGCAGTGAAGCAGGTTAACTCCAGATGAAAGGCTGTGCAACAAGAGATAGGAGAGATTTAGGCTCCTGGGAGCAAGACACCAGAGAAATCAAGTATGACAAAAGCGGGTGTGTCCTGGTTTCAGCTGAGACAGGGTCATACCACAGTTTTGGTACCCGTGTGCCAAGCCAACTGCATACAAACTAGGATTCTGTGGCTTACATGGATGTATTAGGTTTTTGTAGCCAGAAATAAAACATTGCACACTCACATACATAAGTAACCATAGGTCTTCAAATCCTGAACCCTTTGATCACTGATACGCAAGAGAAATTACTTGTGTGATGTTTTCCTGAATCCTGCCCCTAAAGAAACATCCTGGGTTCTAGCAACATGTACTTAATTGTTTACATGCAACAAAGCCCAGCAATGTCAGGACTCCTCCTCCTGAGCCTAGCAATGTCTATGACCAGCACAGCAATACCGCTAGGAGGGATGTCAATACCTTTGGGACTGCACCTGTTAAAACAGTTAAGAGCCTACACTGTCAGGAGCATCCTTGTCAAATCTCCTTTCCACCTTGCAGAGTAAGTGTCGGTTCTCATTTCTATTGAAAAAAAGGCCGCTTAATAAAGGGTACAAACTGCAAAGGTATATAAGCCCCAGTAAGACAAACTAAAACCAGAAAGAATGGTGTTTGAATTGTTCTCAAATATATCTCCTCTTAGGTCAAGCCCTGTTTAGATAGCAAGCTTCCCTCTGATCAGAGAGAAAAACACACATGCCCCTACCAGAGTCACCACACAAGGTGCATGACAGGTGGCCAGTCTAGTATGAGGGTGTGTTTGATACACCTCTTCAATCTGGAGAAGATTTCAAATAACTTTCAGTACTTCCCAGATAAATGAAGAAAGCCCAATCCTTCTCCCCTATTCTACCTCAAAGTCATATTTTACAGTCAAACAGATCTGACTCATACTTCAAGGCTGAATTCAACCAAAAAAATGTCAGTTTTAATCACAACTTAGAGATAATACCTACTTTCAAAGTTATGGACCAGATAGGTGACTGGTTTGCCTCCATCTGCTGGAGTGTAGGTCATCTCTACTTTTCCACGCCCAGGTACCACAAAATCAGTTGCCCTGTACTGTTTAAAAAAAAAAAACAAAAACAAAACCATGATGTTTTTATCTATGAGGAGGACAGAACCATGAAAGATAACCCACACTTGGGAGGGCAGGGTATAGAAGTGCATAAACAGTTGTCCCAGGAAAACCACTGAAGAGCATCGGCCAGGAGCGGCGCTATCG